CATCTTCCCAGGTCATATTAGCTTCGTTCTTATCACCTTCTTTTCGGATGTCTAATGGTGCACGCCAGGGATGCCTTCTTTCTCCCTTACTGTTTATCCTCTGTTTGGAATCCCTGGCTATAGCTATCAGCTCCAACCCTGATATCCATGGGATACGCACCCACAATAGTAATTTTAAGCTGTCTTTGTATGCTGATGATATTTTGTTGACACTGATGGTGCCTTCCATTACTCTACCTGTTCTATAGCGTACTCTCCAGCTCTTTGGAGCCCTGTCAGGTTATAAGGTTAACTCATCTAAAACTGCTTCTTCTGCTATTTTATCTTCTCTTCTCTTCATCAAATTATCCCTATTTCTGGTGCCCCCCCACTCCTTGCGGTGTTTAGGTACCAACCTTACTTCCTCCTACCACTCCCTTTATGAAGCTAATTTTTTACCCCTTTTTCATGTTATTTCTCAATCCTTAAAATCTTGGGACAACCTTGCCATTTCCTTCCTCGGAAGGATTACTGTGCTACAAATTACCATACTGCCCAAGCTTTTGTATCTGTTTGAGATACTTCCTGTACCTATTCCCATGTCCAAGCTACGTTCCCTTCAGAAATCCTTCCTCCACTTTATTTGGCATAATAAATCTCACCAAATTGCCCATACAGTCCTTCTCTCCCCATGATCAGTGGCCAGGAGAACCATTCCTATGCACTGGCTATCTACTACACCTGCTATGTGGTCAGAATTGGTGAAGGTTATCGCTGAGATTAGAAGAATGGAGTACCTCACTGCTATGCATGCTAACTCTGTCCCCCTTTTTGAAGCAGTTTGGGAACTGTGGGATCTTTTTCTTTCCGATATGTCTATTCAGATGTCTGATACTGCTGGCTAATTCACTGTTATGCACTGACATTGTATGTATATGCACTTAATCAATGAGCCTATTTCTTTTTGTTCTTTCATTGATTTGTGACCATTATTTCACAACTCTATGTAACTCTTTGTTTGTTGTATGTCAATAAAAAATAAATTATAAAAAAAAAAAAAATTACTGGGAGGGTGACACTATTTCATACCGCACCAGGTGACACCAACCCTAATGAAGCCACTGATTGGCCTTATCTTAAAAGAGAAGTATGGGATTTTTTTTTTTAAATTCTACCTGCCTAGGTGGTTCTGTCTCCCGCTAGCTCTAAGGGTGAGAACTGAGCAATCTGCTGGTTCAGGCTCTTAGCAGATTGCTGAGAGGCAGAGCCAGGTTCCGGTACAGACTCCTGGATGGATCTCGACCATATGGTTGTGATCTTTACCCAGCCCAGGACCAACTGAGTAAAATCAGCCAACAGGGGGCTTCAACTTGCTGTCAGCTGAAAGCGAGTCACAGGAGAGCAGAACGAACTGCACTCCTGTGATCCACAGGGGAAGTTCAGTCAAATGAGCTTTGGCTGTACATCTCCTTTAAGGAAAACATACATATATTGATAGAAAGGAAAAAATCTATCAAGGCCAAACCATACTTTTATTGAAATCTGGCAGTGTCTGCCAATTCAGGGGTAAACGCAGACATACACTTCTTTTTGATCCAACAGTTCTTGGCTGGATCAGTTAACCTTCTTCCTATGCCTATGGGTAACATAAGCTGGACATACTCAAGCAGAGAAAGGCAACAAAGTGTTATGCAATCATTTTACATTACTATAACTTTAATTCAGCTGATATTCTTTTGTGGTATAGATATGGTGTAGGACTTACATAGTTGGTAAGGTTTACTAAAGACACCAGTCCATCCAGCTCAAAGTGTGTGTGTATATGAATGTATGTCACTGCCATTTCCCATCCATATGCGCCTTACTGCAAAGGCTAGTTATAGGTTGGGGTGGTCACTTTTTGTAGTTGTTTGAATTGGGTGTGGGGATACACTGGATGCCATTGTGCTCTTGTGGGGCGTCACATGCGTCCCTATGCCTTTAAGGAGGGGTGGGCTCCCTCCAGGCACACCTACCCCTAAATCCACTGCTATATATGCTCCAACTTGGTAGACTCTGAAAATTATAGAGGTTGGAAAGCAGTATACAGAGGATCCTTGATGTGGGCACTGCGGCTTACACATATAATTGCAAATGTGTGCAAACAAATCCCTCTGTTTTAATGTGAGTTGTTTTAAGGCAGATAAGTGTGCTGGGAAATCTTTTGCTTGTTTGCCATTTCCCATATCCCTGTATATTGCATTCACTAAGATGCCCGTCTAAAAATTTTTGAAATTATCAACAGGCCTCATTGACACCACCAACTGTGGAAGGGAGTTCCACATCCTTTCTGCTCTAACGGTAAAGAACCCCAAACTCAGTTTAAAGTGGGTGTAAAGCCTGTGCATTTTTTTTACCTTAATGTATTCCCTTCCCCCAAAACTTACCTGAGCCTGTCAGTAATCCAGTGCTGTCCCGTCTTTAGGTCTTCTTTCCCCTCTCCCTCTTCTCACGGGGACTGAGGCAGCAATGGGAGCCATTGGGTCCTGCTGTTGTCAGCCAAGTCCTGTGAGGGAGAGGGTACGGGCTGGGGTACTGTTTCAAAAGATGCACACAGCCTGGCTCAGGAGCAAGCCTGCAGGTGTGCCCCCATAACAAGCGTCTTGCTATGAGGGCACACAGAGAAGAGGGGGAGCCTGGAACGCTGTCAGGGGACTGCAAAAGAGAAGGTCCAGGGCCATTCTGTGCAAAACCATTGCACAGAGCAAGCAAGTAGAACACGTTGTTATTTTAATTTTAAAAAAAAGTATAGCCTTTACAATCACTTTAAGGTTAAACTGTTTCTTGTCCAACTTCATTGAGTGGTTGTGTGTCTTCTTAAAGTGTTACTAAACCCAGGACCTTGCATTCATTATATCTGATCTTCCACAGTACACAGAACATGGAAATGCAATTTTAGTAAATATAAACTGCTAAATACCTTTTCTCATCAACAGTATATAGCAGTCTTGTGACTTTGATCAGTGTCCAGCAGAGCACTGATTAAATCTTGTAGGATCGCTAAGCACTTTAATTTCCATATGAAGATGTGTGTGTTAATGAACATTTCAACCACTTTAAAGTGCTTACTATTGCAATGATAATAAATCCTACACAGTCTGATAATCACACAAGATGCTTTACTAGGGGGTCCGTTTTTGTTCTTTTGTCTCCCAGCAGGAGACAATTCCATGTCTTCCTGCATCAAAATGAGTGGAACGAACAATAAAGGAAACAATAATAAAAATAATAAAAAAAAAAAAAATGATAAAAAAATAGACACTGACACTGAAAACATGTTATATATTTTATGTAGCAGTGAATTTGCCAGAGACAATGTCTTCCTGAAAATAAATTATCTTATCTTACAATATACACTGTAATAAATACTTTAGTTCTAATGACATATACAATACATGATATATTTGAATCTGTTTCTTTTTCCATAGTAAATGTATCCAAGGGTAAATTTGAGTCAGTCTACACAATACTGATATTTTTGTTATTTATAGCTGCTGGTGGGGGATGAATCACACACACTTCTCTTGTAGGGTTGTTTATCTGGGATTAACTGAGATTTTCTTAATTTATGGTCTAGACCAGTGGTCTCCAAACTGCAGCCCGAGGGCCGGATATGACCCATTGCTTTATTTTATCCGTCCCTTTAGGCATTATTACCTCACTGTCAGCAACAGTGGGGTATAGTTCCTGCCACTGACACCAACAATGGGGCACTATTCCTCCCATTGACACCAATGATGGGGCACTATTCCTCCCATTTACACCAATGATGGAGCACTATTCCTCCCACTGACACCAATGATGGAGCACTATTCCTCCCACTGACACCAATGATGGAGCACTATTCCTCCGACTGACACCAATGATGGAGCACAATTCCTACCGCTGATACCAATAATGGGGCACTATTCCTGCTACTGACACCAATGATGGGGCACTATTCCTCCCACTGGATCCAATGATGGGAGACTATTCCTACCACTGATACCAATGATGGTGCACTATTCTTCCTACTGACACCAATGAAGGGGCATTATTCCTATCACTAATACCAATGATGGGGCACTATTCCTACTGCTGATTCCAATGGTGGGGCACTATTCCTACCGCTGATACCAGTAATGGGGCACTATTTATCCCACTGACACCAATGATGGGGCACTATTTCTCCCACTGACACCAATTATGGGGCACTATTTCTCCCACTGATACCAATGATGGGGCACTATTCCTCCCACTGATACCAATGATGGGGCACTATTCATCCACTGATACCAATATGGGGCACTATTCTACTGCCGATACCAATGATGGGGCGCTATTCTTCCTACTGATATGAATGATGGGGCACTATTCCTCCTACTGACACCAATGATGGGGCACTATTCCTCCCACTGATACCAATGATGGAGCATGATTCCTACCATTGATACCAATGATAGGGCACTATTCCTCCCACTGACACCAATGATTGGGCACTATTCCTACCGCTGATTACAATGATGGGGCACTATTCCTCCCACTGACACCATTGATGGGGCACTATTCCTCCCACACTGACAACAATGATGGGGTACTATTCCTCCCACTGACACCAATGATGGGGCACTATTCCTCCCACTGACACCAATGATGAGGCACTATTCCTCCCACTGACACCAGTCATGGGGCATTTTTTACTGCCACTGATACCAGGACTTTTTCTACTCCCACTGGCCACAGTCCAGCCCCCTAAAGATTGAAGGACAGTAAACTGGCCCTTTTTTTTAGAAAGTTTGGAGACCCCTAGTCTAGACTTAATAATTTGTGGTTTACCAATAAATGTGTCAGTCTTTTGTACAATCCCAGTATCTGAAACATTTAACCATTACCAACTGTAGCGTTGATAAAAAAAATTGGCAATAATCTGTCCAGTATTATGTCAGTACGTTGCATAAACATGTTTCATATTTCCTAGTGCAAATCCCCATCTTTCATCTTGATCAGTGGCATCCACAAGACTTAACCACCATGTTGCGATGCTTTTTTAGGATTACGTTGTTGTTATTGTCATAGTAAAGTACTGAGGTGGCTGAGAGCTTTGTTGGAGCGCAGCAAGCTTTAGGAACACTTTCTGGCTTCATAAGGTGAACCTGGCAAGGAAAATACCAGTTACTGCCAAATACTCTTTATATATTTACTATAACTAAAGTGAAACAAAGCATAAACAAATAAAGCAGATGTTGACGTATTTAAGAAAACCACACCGAACCAAACTATTTTTAAAAAAAAAAGTATGTATAAAAGAGCGATTCTTCATAGCAAAGGGTTCAGTTCGGTAGTTAGAATATTTTCAGTTCATTCTTGAATGTTGTCTTTGGCAGATTTCTTGGTAGTTTACATTGGAGTCCTTATTACTTCTTCTTTCAAAGCTTGCCTTGAGTGTGACTCGGTTAAATGCCTAGATGGCTGTGTGTCTCTGGATCAATGTCAGGGATGATGGTGCCTCCTCTTGTGACAGATAATGACTTGATAATATGATTAGTTTACTAACTTTAGTACAGTGAGATCACCATTCTGAACAGTAAAGAGGAAATGATCCTAGGACACGATGAAATAATGACACCTAATTTCTGTAGTTCTTACGTTCATCTAATTCTCCGAACATTAAAACATTGCAAACTTTAGTGCTGGAGCTGATTTACTGCATTGTTTTTACTCTTTATTTTATTGTGTCTAAATGGTAAAACTACTCTGTATCTAGGCAGCTGCTCAAAGTATTGCAGTGTGCAGTATGTAACCAGATAAATATGAGATTAGGGTTTTTAGAGCTGTAACTACGTAGCAAATTGATCCCAGGAGAATGAGCCAGGAAATTAGTATAATGCCAACGTCAGCAGCAGTAATTATCTGTACTTGTATTAGGGTAGCCGTCGAGACAAACAAGGCCACATAAAAAAAGTTCATTGGACTAAAGTGAATATTATTGATATGTGGAAGCATAGCTAACTGCCAACACCCCAGTGCAAATTTGCAGCATCTGAGCCTTACATCTCGGCCAAAGTGGTCTTTGAAGCTCTATTCTGAAAAGCTGTAAAGAATATGTAAACCCAACATTTCATATTCCTGCTGTGCCATTCAGTTGTATGAAAAAGTATCCTGTTCTCTTTGTACTGCTTCCTTTGTGTCAAATCTCTGGTGTCCCTGCTGGTCCCTCTGCTTTCCTATTAAAAAACTGACCACGCTAGGCATGTTCAGTGTTCTGGCTGTGCTGGGAACTAATCCAGTGATCAGACTTGTGCTGATGCCCCCCCTTCCACAGCCAGCCACTGGGAAGATCAGTATGCTGCTGTTTCTCCACCCTCAGTTCCTTATGCAGCTGAAAACAGTGGGCAAGTGAACACTTTCCTATTAAAAACTGCCCACACTAGGCATGAGAGAAAAGCGTGGTCAGTGTTCTGGCTGTGCTGGGAGCCAATCCAATCATCAGAAGTATGCTGACCCCCCCCCCCCACACAGACATTCACCAGGAAGATCAGTGTGCTACTGTTTTTCCACCCTCAGCTCCTTATGCAGGTGAGAACAGTGGGTATGTGAACACTTTCCTGTTAAACACTGGCCACACTAGGCATGAGAGCACAGCATGGTCATTGATTTGGCTGTGCTGGGAGCCAATCCAATCATCAGACATATGCTGACCCCCCCAGCCATTCACCAGGAAGATCAGTGTGCTCCTGTTTCTCCACCATCAACTCCTTATGTAGATGAGAACATTGGGTACATGAGCACTTTCCCATTTATAACTGACCATACTAGGCATGATGGCACAGTGCAGCCAGTTTTCTGGCTGTGCTAGGAGCTAATCCAATCATCACAATTGTGCTGACCCCCCTCCCCCCGCACAGCCATTCACCAGGAAGATCAGTGTGGCTGCTGACTTTCCACTCTCAGCTCCTTATGCAGCTGAGAACAGTGGGTACGTGAACACTTTCCTGTTAAAAACTGCCCACACTACGCATAAGAGCACAGCATGGTCAGTGTTTTGGATGTGCTGGGAGCCAATCCAATCATCAGACATATGCTGACCACCCCCCCCACACACACATACACACACAGCCGTTCACCAGGAAGATCAGTCTGATGCTGTTTCTCCACCCTCAGTTCCTTATGTAGATGAGAAACAGTGGGTACGTGAGCACTTTCCCTTTTATACTGACCATACTAGGCATGAGGGCACAGTGTGGCCAGTGTTCTGGCTGCGCTGGGAGCTAATCCAATCATCACAATTGTGCTGACCCCCCTCCCCTCGCACAGCCATTCACTGGGAAGATCAGTGTGCTGCTGTTTCTCCACTCTCAGCTCCATAGCTGAGAACAGAGGGTATGTGAGTACTTATAAACAAGAGGAAAAAAGGTATTTATAATATTTTTATATCTATACCCAAATGTTTTGCCTTTCATTTCTTATTTAAACTGAATGGGTTATTTTACAAGGTGAGAGTTTTACAATCACTTTAAGTGAGCAGGTCAACATTTGAAACAGATTAGAGCAGCCTGAAAATCAGTGGTCCTACTTGAAAACTCCTCTAGGTCAGCCTTTTCAACCAGGGTGCCTTTGGGCTTCTTGGGGGTTGCCTTGGCAAAATGCCTAACAATAGCCTGGGGTAGTCCTTGTTCACCCCTCTCTGCCAACATTGGGTTCACATTAGCTGAATGAAGGAAAGACACTGAGGGAGAAGAGAAATGTTGGATTACTATTCAGTACCAGTGTGAAAATGTGTATTTACTTTGTAAAAAATCACTTCCAGTGCTGGGTGTCCTAAGTGTGTGGATGTTGCTGCATTGTGTAAAATTATTAATTTTGTTTTCTACATTTTACAATGGGGTGCCTCGAGATTGTACATAATTTTAAAGGGTGCCTTGACTAGAAAAAAAAAAGGTCGACAAACACTGCTCTAGGTGGCTTTTCTTTACACGTTTTCAGTTTGGGTTAATTGACGACCTTCTGTTCAGCTTTTGAATTTATAGCCTAACATTTTTTTTCTTTTAGAAAAGAAAAAGGTTCAAACTTCAAGTTTTGATTAGGAAGATTCTCATTGTTAAATCTATACTGGACGAGGGTGCGTTTCCCTATGCACCATCTGGCCAATTGATGAATCTAAAATATATAACCTTTATTCAAATATATAAAAAAAAATGTATGCTCTGCTGTAATGAATGCCTATTGGAGTGGAATGTACTGCGCACAACAATATAAGTGGATACAAATTATTTACCTTACATCCAACTGGTTAATAACACCAGACCAAATCAAATACCATACCGTTTTAGATGAAGTGACGGCATACAAAGAGGCACTGTAGTTTGATCATAATCCTATCAGCTTGAATATTTATGCAGGCCATAGACGGGTTGTCCGCACGAAAAAATCAGCTGATATTCACGCCATTAGTGGGGCCAGCCCGTCAGCCGTTTTTTTTGCAGATCTCCTCATTTATTTTTATTGGTCATGTTGGAAAATCCTCGAAAAACGGCCGTTTTTCGTGGACATTGGTGCCAACAACAACCGATTTTTTCATATATCGGCCGAAAATTCGGACGATAAACAAACCGTCTATAGCCTGCCATAATCTCTGTTAAGGAAATGGAGTTACCCCATGGACAAAACTAATTAGCGAAACATGTAGAGTCTCTTTTTTTCTTTGGGTCTTTCTTTGGGAGCACTTTGTGAATGCACACGGTATTTACTCCTCTCTCCCCTTTTTCTGTTGAAGTCTGTAATGCATTTTACAGTGCATCATTTGCATTTCTCAAGACAATGAGATATTTTTGGTGGATATGGTGATGTATGGGGCTTGTCCATGAGGAGCTGACATGCCCATGGATGAGTGTACCCGTATTACATATCTGTAGCAAGATAGATTATGCTATCTAGTTAGTTTTGTCCATGGGGTAACTCCATTTCCTTAACAGAGATTATATATTCAAACTGATAGGCTTATGATACACTATATAATCAAAAGTTTGTGACATCTGACCATCACACCTACAAGATATGAGTTTGTTAAATATGCAGTTCCGAAACCATGAGCATTAATACAAAAACTGAACAACACTTTGGGGCTATAACAGGTTCCACTACAATGCGTGTCTGTGGGAATTTGGACTATTTAGTAAAAAGAGCATTTGTGAGGTCTAGTACTGATGTTGAACGAGAAGGTCTGGCACGCAATAGGCATTTGAGTATATCCCAAAGATTTTCAATAGGGTTGAGGTCAAGCCTCTGTGAAGGCAACTCAGGTTCCTCCACACCAAGCTCATCAGACCATATGTTTTTGAACCTGACTTCTGGGCACATTCACGTCCTAAAACTGTCATCACAAGGTTGGAAGCACACTGTTGTTTAATATTTCTTTGTATGCTGTAAACACCTGCACTCAATAATTAGGAGGGGGTGTCACATCATTTTTACCATATAGTATGTGAGATTATCAGGTGTCCACAAACTTTTGATCATATAGTGTAGGTAGGGAATGGTTAAAAACATCTGCCGGATTATTTTTGCTCTGTCTGTACTACTCAGAAAATGTTGCTTTACTTTCTGATCCAGAGATGCTACAGAAAGAGGAAATCTCTCAAAGTGAGGGGAATTCCCCTCTCAGACAGGTGTCCCCAATCAATGATTTCCCCTTGCCTGTTATTCTAGGACGACTGTAAAATTTTAGATTTTCCCTCACTTTATCTTTTCAGTGACCATGGTCACTGTGACAATAAAGTGGTCTAATGAACCCCATACTGAGTATGGAGAACAGGGAAATTTGGTTGTACACTGTGTCATCCTTGTTTCTCCAGAAATTGCAAGTCTGTGACAAAATGTTTACAGTAGATATATATTTGATGTCAGGGGCAGACTGACAACTCATGGGGCCCCCGGGCAATAGGGGATCATGGGGCCCCTTTGTCCTTGCCCAAACTCAAAAAAGCCTATGAAAAAGGTACCAGGGGCATCTCATGGGGCCCCCTACTGACCCTGGGCCCTCGGGCAGTGCCCGAGTTTCCAAATGGTCAGTCCGCCCCTGTTTGATGTTTATGCTCCAGCAGGGCATGACTGCTTTTACCAAGTCCAGACACTTTCACCCCCTTTTAGTCCAAGC